CCTTTTGGTGGCTTTGGCCATGAAGGTCTGTATGAATGATCGAGCGAGGTATTCGCCGACGGCGGGGCACATCCTGGGTCCCTCGCCGAAAGGGATGGATGCGCAGTTGAGTGCGTTGGCCTCGCCGCTGCCGACCATGCGGACGAGCTCCTCCTTGAAGTGGCTCTTGGCCTCGCCGAAGTGGTAGTAGGGTATGGTCTGCTCGTCGAAGAACCACTTGAGCGACGGCGGGACCCACCGGTACGGCCAGAAGTGGGTCGCATACGCCCAGTAGGAAGGGTGGTGGTGCAGCAGCTGAGGCGATACCAGAACCTGCACACACACAGAGATACACACGACACGACAATGTCTGACAAGTTCGTTCATGTCTGACTGACACGGGAGGCCAGCTATCCGCCCGCCCAGCCCCAGCCACCCACGTACCTCAGTGCCCTCAGCGAATTTGAGGTCTTTGTATCTGACGTTCCGCGAGCAGGTCCGCGAGATGAATGCGGTGGGCGGCAGGAGGCGCATGGCCTCCTGCACGACGTACCCCACAAACACGCTCGACGGCAGCTCCAGCACATCCAGCCCCTCCTCGGACTCGTCCACACTCTCGTTGGCGCCTTGCCCCTCCCCCTCCCGCTCCTCGTTGACACGCCGCTCCTTGGCCCGCAACAGCTCTGGGCCCTCTGTTTCGGTGGTCTCCTCATCTGCCGTCTCATCTGGAAGGCTCTCATCTGTCTTGTTCTCCCCAACATCCTCTGTCCGTGCTGACGAGCTGAAGGAGCGAGACGCACCTGCAGGATGGTCGGTGGCGGGGCGGGGGGCGGGGCTGGGGTTGGGGAGGTCATCAGCGGAGGTTGATGCAGATGCCTCTGGTGGTGGGGGGGCGAAGGTGGCCATGCGGATGGACTCGCCGTCGTCCTTGCGGGCGATGAACGGGTCTCGGCCGTTGCTGTCTGTGTCAGTGTTGTTTCCGGCGGTGTCCGCTGCGCCTTTCACCTGTGGGTAAGCCGGGTTCTTGGACTTCTTCTGGAATATGTACTTGCGGGTGCCCTCGACGGTTTGGAACTGCAGGTGGGGAGTGCCGGCAGTCACCCACATTGTCGTGGTTAAACCTGAATGAATGAACGGGCACCGAAAGGAGGGAGGGGAGACAGACAAGAGCCTTCCTGTATGTGTCTCTCTTCCTCCCTCCTCCCTCCCCCCCTCCCTCCCTCTCCTACCCCTCCCTCTCCTACCTTTGATGGCCGGTAGGTGTATGTGTCTGTGCAGCTGCAGCAGCATCAGCACCACCTCACTCACGCTCATCTCCACCCTCGCACCGTCAAATGCCGGCACTGGTCCTTCCTCCCCCTCCCCCTCTGATGCATCATCCCCCGCCTCCTCGCCGCTGGCACTCTCCCCCGCTTTGACCACTCGAATGGTGCCGGGCCGCCTCGGGGCTGGTGATGTTGCCGCTGCTGGCTCGTCGTCTGGTGCGCTTGATTTGATGTGGAACTGGGGGGAGTCGAGGAGGAGGTTGAGGAAGGACTGGCCGTTTTTGGTGATGACGGCGCCGTCCTTGCCCTTGCGGCGGTAGAAGCGGTGGAGGTTGACGTAGTCACGCACACGCTGCTCCAACTCTGCAGACAGTGTAAGGGAGGGCAGGGCCACATGACGACATATCTACGATGCATGGCTCGATGCAGCGGCCCCTTCTGCCTCCCTCCCTCCCTCCCTCCCTCCCTGCCTCTCACCCTTGAGGTCTTCCTCGAGTTTGGAGTACATGCCCGATGGCAGGTGTCGCCAGTAAGGCCAGTGGTGCTCCAGCCTGTCCCACCCCTTGATGGCCCTCTCAATCACCGCCTCGAGCGGCCGCTGCTTCTCCTCTTGGTTGGCCAGCATCTCCGTCTGAGTGCACAGGTGCTCGCCAAACAGCACGTGGGCCACGGTGGAGAAGTGCCAGCTCTTGATGTGGCGGGGGAAGTCGTCAACCCATGTGTCGCGGATCTTGTCCTCCCTCAGGGTGTCTGCCCACGACGGCATCTTCCTCCCCGTTGACTTTTCATAAGCGGCCTGCACGCCCAGACCAGCAGCCAGCCCAAGACAGACAGACAGACAGACAGACATGAGTGCATTCATGACACACACGACGCCACATGGCCTGTCCGTCCGGTGAGGGTGGCGGCTTGGCTTGGCTTACAGTGCGGTCCTTCTCTGCTTGTGTCTTCTCCTTGTTGAGGTGTATGAGGGGCAGCTCCCACTCGTCGAAGAGCGCGGCCATGCGCTTGTCCAGCTCCTGATTCATGAAGCTGCGGAAGTCCTCACCAGACACCAGCCGCACCGCCGCACGACGCACCTCCCGCCCGCGATCACTCGAGTCGTATAGGTGCGTCAAGGGGGCAGCCGACTGGCCATCCTGACCCTGATCGTGCGCCGCCTGACGCTTCTCAAGTATGCTCCACATGTCCTGGAACACGGCATCTGGCGGCCTGGTAGACAGACAGACACAGAGAGGAGAGGCATTAGCCTGCCATCGGTTGCTCCCTTCTGCCTTGGTCATTCATTGCTCACGGGTGTTGCCATGCGTCGGTTTCGTCTTTGAGTATGGCCTCTGCCAGCCCAGGGTCGCCGCACACCACCACCTCCCTGGCCAGCAGACCGGGACGAACCACAAACACACTGCCGCAGCGAGCAGCAAACTCGAGAATCTGTCACTCACAGACACAACCAAATCCGCACAGTCATATTCACGTGTGCATCTATCTGTTGTGGTGTGTCGCGCGCAGGGTCACTCACTTGGCCCTGGAGGCTCGACGCTCGAAGACTGAAGATGGAACCTGCAAAGCGAACAGATAGGCACACACAACAAGTGTAATGCACAGTGCAAGCAATTCCCTACTCCATCGGCATGCCCTCTCACCATTGAACAGCGGCATGTTTGACACACGGGGCAGCAGGGGCATCTTCACCTGGTCCCTTCCTTTAGCCCCGGTCACCGCTTGCAGACACAGCGCCACATATCTGCCAATAGCGCCCCCATCGACAGTGCCGCTGACCAGGCCGGCCGGGAGGCTCAGGCTTTTGGGCAGCATCGCTCACTCACTCGACGATACGTACGCACAATGAACAGATCAGGGACAGATCTTCCTGCAATTGTTAGATGGCGTTCTCCTCGTGCTGAGGTGTATCTGTGGTGCTGGTCAGCTCAGAGCAACTGAACTCAACTCGAAAGCTCGCAGTCGTGAAACCGTTATCCGAGCGTCCCAACGAAAAGAGAACGCATAATAGCGTGGTGAAGCGCTTTGAGCAGAGCATTTGGTTCCTTCTTGACCAGCGTATCTTACACATCTGTTTGTCGGTGAGCAGATGCATCTCGGTGGGAACTGCACTCGCAGACAGGACAGGGAGAGCAGGTTGTGTGTGGACGTGTGGGTGTGGCGAGAGTGCCGGGATGGGAGAGAGGGAAGGCGGGGGTGCGTCGTGCGTGATCTGTCATGTCTCTCCTGCATACATGTGTTTGTCCTCCGTCAGATACGATAGCCTGTTAGTGTTTGAGTGGTGAGATGGCGTACTACGACCCCAACTACCACATGAGCATCCACGCGATGAACCGCGCGGCGATGCGACATGCACCTGTGCAGCAGGTGGGTGGGCTGGGCTGGGGATGGTCTCGCACATTTCGCATGACCATTTTCCCGCTGTCTGTATGTGTGTTTTGTGCAGGAGCATGTGCCCACGTTGGAGACGCCTCAGTTGGTGGCGACTGTGGCCCCTGCTCACGCCGTGCCGATGGCAGTGCCAATGTATGGCCACTACACCTACACCACACCCAGCCCTAGCATCCACCACCAGGTACGCCAACACGCATGGCCAGAGACTGTGCTCGCGTGTGCATACGTCTCATCTCGTGGTTGCGTGTCAGAACTACCTAGTACAGACTCACCAGATGGTCCCTCCGATGCACCCCACGCAACCTGTTCCTGTGGTGAGCACCTGCAGGCACCTGCACACCACACACTCACACACAGCAGAGGGAGGCATCAATCCGGTGGGCCACACATGTGTATGTGTCTTGTGTGTGCGTCAGGCGCATCCGTTGTGTGTGCCGGTTGGTGGCTCGATCTCCCACCTCAACTACGTCATGGCGCAGAGCCCGCACCTGAGCCACCCGACGGCCATGTACACGCCGCCCAACATGGTGGGCATGCCACCCCAGACGGCCGCCCAGCCCGCGCCCGAGAAGAAACCAGAGCTGGAGGGGCAGGGGCAGGCCAACAAGACCCAGTAGATCAACAAACAAGGGGCAGGGGAGGGAGGGGACTGCGTGGCGGGTGTGTGTGTTTCTAGTGGGGTGGATGGGGGATGCCTGAGTGAATGGGTGTGTATCTATGGGTGGTGGCTTGGCTGTGTGATACCTGGGTGGGTATTCACTTCCTCTCTGGCACTTGCCTCGCTGGAGGAGCAGACAGGTGACCAGACACGCTGTTTCTCCTTCGTGTCTGGTCAGGGGTCTGCTCGTTGGGTGAGATAAGTGCAGAGAGAGGGAAGGAATGGCACACACCCCAACTAGCAGCTCGCAATTTTCAGCCACACAATCAATGTAGTGGTACATACAATACATGCGCACATACATGTACGTGTGAGCGCCACGACAGACCACACCACACCACGCGAGCAGCGGCCTCACTAGCTCTTTTTTTATCCCCCTCAGGAACACACACGATGGCAGACAGGTGCTCGTGAGCGGCGAGTGTGCGTGTGTTGTTGTGCATTGATAACGGACGAGGCTGGCTGCCATGTCGCGTTGTCTCCCACCCAATCGCTGAGTGGACGGCTGCAGTGTATGTGTGTGTATGTATGTGTGTATGTGTAAGCGCAGAGAGGGCATTTTTCCGGCCTTGAGCTCCTGTGGTTTTCTCTTGCTCGGTCGCGTGCATGGTGCAGTCGCTGTCGTGTATGGATAATGTGGATGCATCGATGCATTGGTCCTCTTATGTGCCTGCCTGCCTGGATGGATGGATAGAATGGCGTCTGTGTTGAGAGAGCGAGAGAGCGGTGTGTGTATTACCTTTCCTCCCCTCCATTCCCTCTCGCCCTTTTCCTGCCTGCCTGCCATCGGCTTGTTTGCCTCAATGCCTGGCGTCTGCATGTATACTAAGGGCAGCCTATATATGGTATGGATCAAGTCACACGAAGTGTCCTGTGATGTCATGTGAAGTGAGTGTGTTGGATGTCACCGCACCGCTACCACTGACTGACTGACTGGCTGACCGATTTGTTGGGGAGGGGCCAAAGGGACGCTCGTTTTCTCGGCGAGACCGCACACGTGCGGGCAGTCGGGCGGCACCCGTCCGACGGCCAGCCGGCCGATCTTGTGTGTGTGTGTGTGTGTGTGTCTCCATCCTTTTTCCGCTCCCCCAGTTGGAGCATTGCCGAGCGACCCGACCCATGTACACATACAAACAAATGTACTTGCCATGATGCTGTCTGTCTTTGAGTACATGTGTGTGGCTGGCTGATTGGATGGCGTGGGGGG